GAGTTCATGGGAACATGAAGGGGCAGTCCCTGGGCTATGCCTTTGCTGAGTTCCAGGAGCACGAGCATGCCCTGAGAGCCCTCCGCCACATCAATAACAACCCAGAAATCTTTGGGCCTCTTAAGGTTAGTCTTATCCTCCATGGTTACCTGATCTGAGGGCCAGCTACAGAAGGCTTTTCTTGTCTGTTCCATTTCCTCTGACACTGGAGTGTGGGAACAAATAGCAAATGGACAAGTGGGGAGGGGAATGAGTGGCAATTCCGGGTGATAAGATGATTACAAAGAGCTCTAAACTTGGTAGGCTTCTTGCATGACTGGCTCTTTACCTTCAAGTAGAAGTGAGCAACAGTCTGTTTTGCTGGAGGAGGCATGGGAGCAGGGGACAACTCATCTCCTTGTACTTAAAGTCTAAATTCGCCTGAGGCCCTGGGTTCAATTGCCCTTGTGGGTGGGGAAATAATGAATAATATTTTCTCTTCCTCTTGACACAGAGACCAATAGTGGAGTTCTCTTTGGAAGATCGAAGGAAACTTAAAATGAAGGAAATGAGGATCCAGCGCAGCCTGGTACAAAACTTAAATGGTCTTCTGTTATTATTTTTAAGGACAGGGCTGGTGAGATGGCTCAGTGGTCTAAAGCACCTACTTAGAACAAGCTTAGCAAAGCACAGGGACCACAGTTCAATCCCCCAGCACCACATGCCAGCCAGCCCCGCCCCCTGGAGGGCTGAGCTGGCCACACACACATAAATAAATAAATTTTTTTAAAAAGGTTATTTTTAAGGACATAATTAAATTTTAATTTTGTTTGGTTTGTGATTCTGCCCCCTTAGAATGGTTCTGTGTCCAATTAGGATTTTTCACCCTTTACTCCTGGTTCGCTAGGACTCTCTAGGCCATCTTCTCTGTGCTGGCCCATCTTGTGTTAGAACAGGAGAAGCAGATTATTGTTCTTATTAATAGTTTCTGTACAGTGCTTGATGTGAGCCAGGGTTACCCTAATGACTGAGGAGAAACTTTTACATTATTTAATGGTTTCGGCTGTTCCTTCCAGATTTTTTTTCTCTTTTGATGGGCCCAGAAATGTGATGCCTGGTTCTTCAAGTTCTGTTTCCAATCTTGTGTGGTGGAGGGAAGAGCAGGAGCTCTGGGAGCAGGTGTGCCTGCGTTCAGACTCTGGGTCTGCACCTCTTGCTGCGTGTCCCTTATCAAATTACTTCCTTTCTGAGTCTGCTTATTTTTTTAAATTTTATTTATTTACTCATTGGATACAGTTTCTCTACACAGTTCAGATGCGTAGTGATCCCCTTGGCTTAGCCTCCTCAGCACTGGGATCACAGGCATGTGCCGCCATACCCAGTTTTGGGGCCAGCATGGTGTGCCCGGGGTTCCTGGGCCCACATAGCATGCGGTACCAGGGATCAGACTCAGCATCCTGCGCTTGCCAGGAAGGTGCTTAGACAGCTGAGCTATCTTCCCAGCCCCTGAGTCTGTTTATAAGATAGGTTAACAGCATCTGCCTCATTCAACTGATGAGGATTAAATAATTATCATTTGCCACATGGTCAACCTGGAGTCAATACTCATTGTGTTGCCGTCTTCCCCTAGAACTTACAGGACCAGTTTATTACAGATTCCATAACTACTATAGCTCTCACCAATATCATGCCTTAATTTGCCTATGTGGTGAACATTTGTAGTCATTGCAATGTATGCCAAGAATATGGCCAACGGTTGAGCAATTTCCGTGGTAAAGATAGTGACTCTGAGTTAGAGAACCTGGGATCTAATTACTGTTCAATTCAACATGTTATCTTAGCTAATACAGCTCTCTCCTGCCTTTAGCTGTTGCTTCAGGGTGGCCTGCATTGTTCATTGCCTACACCTATGCATGTGCTATGCTTTCTGTATAAAAATACCTCTTTCCCCTGACTCAGAAGGTGACTTCTCACTTTCCATGTCCAGGTCACATGAGCCTTCTTCAAGTAGCCTTCTCCCACCTCTTGGATAAGGCCTCATTTTTTGAACATCTATGGACTTCTTTAAACAGAT